CAGGCGACTCACGGCAGCCCAGCTCCAGGTTGAGCTGTTGTTCAGCATCTTAGCTGTGGAGGGCAGTGTTCACTGGCCCTCATATGCGGGATCCGAACCGGGGCCCTCTGGCATCCCAAGCGAGTTCTTAACCATTGCGCCACTCGGCCGGCCCTCATTACGTTTTTATTGCTTACAAGTAGGCACTGTATGAATATACCATAATCTGTTTATTCATTCTCCTGTTGATGGGCATCTGGGTTGTTTTCCATTTGGGAACTATTATGAATAAAGCTGCAATTAACATTCATATTTATGTCTTTTTGTGGACATGTGCTTTCATTTTCTTGGGTAAATACTATAGGAATGAAATTACTGGGTCACAGAGTAGATGCTTGTGTAACTTTATAAAAAACTGCCATAAAGTTTTCCAAACAGTGGTACCATTTCACACACGCATCCGCAAGTTATGAGAATTCCAACTGCTGACATACTTGTCATCGTTTGGTATTGGTGACCAAATCTTATTAACTTCAGCTATTCTAGTGGGTGTGAAATGTTACCTCACTGTGGCTTTATTAGGCTTTTCCTGATGGCAAATGATGCTGAGCAATTTCATGTCTTTAATGCCAATGTATATATCTTTTTTGAAGTCTTTTGCACACTTTTGAGAATTGAGTTGTTTCTTTTGGAATTGTAAGAGAGCTTTATATATTCTGGACACAAGTTCTCTGTCAGATATACATATTAAAGATATTTTCTCCCATCTGGTGGATTGCTTTTTCATTTTCTTAACAATGTCTATCAAAGAACAGAAGTTTAATGTCATTTATCCATTTTTTATGAAGTCTAATTTATCCATTTTTTTCTCATATGATTAGTGCTTTTCTGCATCTCTTCTAAGAAATCTTAGATTATTCCAACATCAAAAAAATAAATTCTCCTCATTTTCTTCTGGGAGCTTTATAGTTTTAGCATTTATGTTGAAGTCTATGATCCATCTCAAATTAATTCTTGTTATTTTGTAAGGTAGAGGTTCATTTTTTCCCATATGGATATCCAGTTGTTTTGGCACCATTTGCTGAAAATTCTCCTGTCCCCATTGAATTGCCTTAGCGTCTCTATTAAAAATCTGCTGAATATACATTCATATGGATCTATTTCTGGACTCTAATCTGCTCCACTGACCTATGCCAATCCTTTTGCTAATACCTCACTGTCTTGATTACTGTAGCTTAAAGTGAATTCAAGTAGTGTGAGTCCTCTGGGTTTTTTTGCTTTTGTTTTTCAAAATTGTTCTAGCTACTATAGGTCCTTTGCTTTTCCATACAAGTTTTAAAATCAGCCTGTCAATTTATGTTTTAAAAAGCCTGCTGGGATTTTGACTGGGATCACATTGAAGCAACAGATCAGTCTGGGGAGAACAAACATCTTAATTCATGAATATGGTTTCTCTGTTCATATATTTAAATTTTCGTTAGCTTCTTTCAACAATGTTTTGTAGTTCTCTGTGTAGAGGTCTTCTACCTTTTGTTAAATTTAATCCGAACTTTTTTTATGTGTGACTGGATTTGTCTATTTTTCTTTCTACTTCTGTTAAGTTTTTGCTTCATGTATTTCAGAACTCTCTTACTAGGCACATAACCACTTATAATTGGTATTTCTCCAGATGAACTGAACACTTGTCATTATAAAATGTCCCTCTTTATCTCTGGTCATACTCCTTGTCTTGAAGTCTAATCTATTTGCCGCTAGGAAAGCCATACCAGCTTTCTTGTGCTTATTTATTATTT